TCTTCGTCCGGACGGAAGACTGATATTCAGAACCGCCGCAAGTACGACGACGATAGCCCGGGTCCGTAGCCGGCCAGCCGCTTCCGAGTTCGTTTCCTCAATCACAACGAGCGGCATGTCGTTCTGGCAAAAGCAGGCCGTGGGTTGGTGAAACGATCATACTCGGCCACCACACACGCCGCTCCTGTTGTGCAACGTGAGACGTAACTTTATGGGGTGGCGGTGACAACGGCTTCTGTGACTGTATGAGGACTCTACTCACATTAATATTGGCAACTAACTAGGGGGATACTACGAGTATCTACAAACTAAAGAAGACGGTGAAAACGGTAGTTTGTCTCGCGGCCCGTGACCATCGCACCATGGCGAAGCAGTACCAACCTCTGGCTCGTTTGCCAATGCGCCAATGATCGCAGAATGCGGCAGCCTTTCAATTCCTTACTACTTTTTTTTTTCATGAGCTCAACGTTATGAACGCGGAACAAGTAGGAAGTTGAGGCACAAGGCTTACCCGCTGCTGATAGAAACACAAAGTCGGTGAGGGAGATCTTCATGTGTGTGCAACGACGGTGTGACCTAGTGCGAGACATAGCATAACCTCCAATTGCAAGCGACACGACCCCTCAAGCGTACTTCTGCATGAAAACCACGTAATAAGGCTTTATAGTGAGGCTGCCAGTTATTGCTTCGTTTGCCGAGAATAGCACGCCAACGCACACCAGAGACAAGAAAACATTGTGCCCTTCACAGCCGGCGGCAATGCGCGATAAAGTTGCTGCCTCCGAATTCTCTCACCGAGAAGCCATTTCAGCCTTTTTTTTTTCTGTGCTAAATACCAAGCTCAACGATGCCTCCGTCTCCCACCGCCTCGCAAGCGCCTGCAGATCACGGTGAGGGTGGCGGCCCTCCGTCCAAGGGTCTCAGTCCGTAGGACATTATCGGTATAGCCGTCGGGGTTCCGTCGGGCGTCCTCGCCATGATTGGGGTCATTATTGCATTTCTTGCTTGGAGATATCCTGACAAGTTCAAAAAGACAAAGGACAGCCTGATACCTCACCGTCAAGCCACCCATGACAACGGGAGCACGCTGAAAAGCTCAAAAAGACAAAGGACGGCCTGATACCTCACCGTCCAGCCACCCATGACAACGGGAGCACCAACAATCGAGAGAACAAGAGCCCCTGGTTATGAGAGATTCTTACGGGGGCATACATTCAAATAACAGAGCGCCAGTTACGTATGGAAGAGTTGCCGCAATGTACTTCGGCGAGACATCGGACGGGCGTCGAAGAAATGAGGCGGCTTCGAATTGCTTAGGTGCTTTTGGTCGTGAAAGCTGAACGGACGCTGCACGTGAGAGGTGAAGAAATTGCATTC